AATGCTACATTCTACAGCTACTACAGGTAATAATACATAGTTAAATTAATATTAATTAAACTTTATTAATCTGGTATCAATTTGGTTAATAAAAGACATACATAGGATAACTGACAGGTTACTTCTTTGTATTATACACTTAGATTGTCTATTATTTAGTTGGAGTTGTAGGTAATTGCGAACTTCAGTTTATCCAAATTTTTTCTAAAAAAGCCAGTTTGGCGTTTATAGCATCACTACGTTTTGCTGATTTTGTCACAAAAATTCATAAAGAACGTCGATTTACATTTCAACCTCCAATTTAGAAACGTTTTTATTACTCGATTATTAATATTTTAAACTCTAGTTTTGAAAGCCGACGCTCAAAATACTTTGAAGTTAACTGGGTTGCCTATATCAATGACGAGCAGTCGCCAGCTGTATTTAATACTAAATATATTTTAAATTCAAAGTATCATGGTAATAATGTTACAGTGCAAGTCGAAACTTGTAAGCAAGTAAATGTTTGGATTTTAATAAAATACTCTAATTTATTTGGTACATAAGCAGTCTGTGGAAATAAACATGATTTTACGACACTTAATACTGTTAAAGTAAACAAATTTTTTCACTGCATATTTCTCTAATGTGGCCATTTTTACCTTGTGACCTGTACTTTACATTTTGTTACGATTTTTGATAGAAAAAGTTACTTATAGTTAAAAATGCGGGAAACAAACTCTTCTTCTAGAAGATTCAGGGTAGAGTTATAAATCAGATACCGATATTTGGTCATTTTCCCAGTATTTTACAGGAGGAAAGTAAAACTATAAATTAGATAATATAAACGAACAACTTTCTTATGATTGAAAAAAAGCTCACATTGAAAAATGCGGGAACAAAATTCTTCTAGAAGATTCAGGGTAGTTATAAATGATATACCGATATTTGGTCATTTTCCCAGTATTTTATAGGAGTAAAGTAAAACTATAAATTAGATAATATAAACGAACAACTTTCTTATGATTGAAAAAAAGCTCACATTGAAATTGTTGCAAGTAAATGGACTTAATTTTATTAAAACGTTGCTTTCTTGAAATTATCTAAACAAGTCAAATACAAGAGCAACGCGAGCACACGTGTTAACATGCAGCATTTTGGTTTGATGCATCCCAACAATATACAAATAAAAATTATGTATAAATGTTATTCACATCTAAACCAAACAAACAGGTTAATCAGGTATCCAAACATAACATCATCTGTAATTATTTATCTTGTATTTTTAATCATGGTCGTCATACCTGTAACTTATTTAATTCGTTTTGATGATTTTTTTTATAGTATAGGCGATATCATCTTGAGCAAAGACGGACAACTATTTCTATTCTTTATTGTTTTATTGGATTTTACTCGCGGCTTTGCTCGTTTTGACATCCTAAGTACGTATCAAAGATTATTGACGACCACTTAAAACTTTTTCTATCCTTTGGGAACTGCATATTTTTTCTGGATAAGTTATGCTATGTGTTTTTCTGTACCCCTGTTAAAGTGTCTACAAAATTTCATGATGTCCGACTGAGTGGTTAAGGCGTAAATAGATCACCTTTAACTAATTTTTCTATTCCTCGGGAACAATACTGTTTCTGGATAAAAGGTGCCCTATATCCTTTTCCGTAATCCTGACAATGTGTGTGCAAAATGTTATGATGACCGGTTAAGTAGTTAAGGTGTAAAATCGACCACTTAAAACAAAATTTTTGTATCCTCCGGGAACAATATTTTTTCTGAACAAAAGTTACCCTATATACAAAATTTGATGATGATCGATTGAATAGTTGAGATATGAAATCGACCATAATGAACTAATTTTTTCTATCCCTCGGGAACAATGTCTTTTCTGGATAAAAGATACCCTATGTGCTTTCTGTACCCCTGAAAATGTCTGTCTAAAATTTCATTATGGTCGATTGAGTAGTTGAGGCGTGAAATCGACCACATTGAACCAATTTTTTTATACCTCAGGAACAGGTTTCTTTTTGTCGGATAAAGGGTACCCTATGTCCTATTCTGTACCCCTGACAATGTGTCCATAAAATTTCATGATGATCGACTGAGTAAAGGCATGATATCGATCACATAAAACTAATTTTTTTCTATCCCACGGGAATAGTACCTTTTCTGTAATAAAAGGTACCCTATGGCCTTTCCTGTACCCCTCACATGTGTGTACAAAATTTCATGATGGGTTTTAGCCTCAGCTTCGCTCACGGCGATATCCTAAATATGTGTCAAAGATGATCGATGACCACTTATATAAAACTAATTCGTCTATCCTTTGGGAACAGTTTTTTTCTGACTACTCTATGCCCTTTTCTGTACCCCTAATAATATTCGTATAAAATTTCATGATATTTTTTACCGCGGATTCGCTTGCGTTAATGTCCTCAATACGTATCATTGACGATCACATAAAACTAATTTTTTCTATCCCACGGGAATAGTACCTTTTCTGTAATAAAAGGTACCCTATGGCCTTTCCTGTACNTTTATTTAATCCACTAATTATTACAAACATACAAAACAAGATTATAAGTAATAGTTGGATTTAATACTAAAATTAAATAACAATCAAGTACATACCTGGTGCTTGCGAAAGCTCCATTTCATTGTAATGGTAAATACACAATCTGCAAATAAAACAAACATTTTTTGTGTGAAGAAAAAGACACTAAAATGATTATTTTTCTGTCTCCATTAAGCTTCAAAGAAGAGTCTGAAAGTGGCTTCCTGCCTTGGAAATGAGAATAATGATCACAGTATGAAGTGGATTTCTGAAGAATGAGTTTGCGACATGTAATTGATTACTTTTTGGACACAAAGTTGTAAGACTAGAAGGTGAGAAAAATCGTTTAAGAATATTTTTGAAGCTTTAACTGATTCATTTCACAAACCCACATAATGATAGTTTGGATTTATGACATGAATTAATAAGTAACAATTGAAAGTAGTAGATGAGGTCCTAGAAACCTCGAATTTCTTAGACATTTTTAAATTACTTTCAATAGACAGATTTTAGACAACTTTACAAAATATCAAAAGCCAAACAGCAAAATTACTGTGTGGCTGTTGTTTCTGGCAGTGTGAATGCCAGCTTAATACAAGGGATAGACCATTTATTTTATTTTATTTATTTTTTT